TAGGGTTACTCCTGACGCTCGCATTATTGATGTGACACACTTTTCTCTCTATTGTTTCTCCTCTCTCTCTCTCTCTCTCCCGCTCTCGCCATTCTCTTTTACTTCCTCTCTTTTCTCTCTCACTTCTTGCTCTCTCTTCTATCTTCCTCTCTCTCTCTTCTATCTTCCTCTCTCTCTCTTCTATCTTCCTCTCTCTATTCTGTCTTCCTCTCTCCCTTCTGCTTCCTCTCTCTCTTCTGCCTTCCTCTCTCTTCTGCTTTCCTCTCTCTCTTCTGCCTTCCTCTCTCTCTTCTGCCTTCCTCTCTCTTCTATCTTCCTCCTTTCTCTCTTTCCTTCCTCCAGCTCCCACCGTCCATTGTGGAAGCTAAGAACAATTCACTGAAGTCTTTTCTGTTTAATAATAGTAATGATAATAAACTTTGCATTTCATATAACTCTGTATCACATCGCTGAGACGTCTCAAAGTGCTTCACAGGATGTATTGTAAAGTGGAGTCACTGTAATTTGTGGGCGAAATGTGGCAGCCGGTTTGCGCACAGCAGTGCCCCACAAAAGTCATGGAGCGAGCGATCAATTTTCTTTGGGGGATTGTTGGCACCTGAACATGCAGCCGGGAACTCGGTTTAACGTCTCATCCCAAAGGACGGCACCTCTGACAATGCAACACCACCCCCACCCCAGCGCTGCATTGGAACGTCAGCCTCGACTATGTGATCCCAAGTCCCCGTCGTTGGGGGCTCGAACCCACAACCTTCTGACTCAGAGGCGAGAAAGAGTTACCCACCGAGCCAGGCCGACACGCACTATTTGGTGACCGGAGGAACGTTCGAGCCTGCGCGAATAAAGTCGTGTGTTTCGGGGCTGACTCGGGGCTGGCTTAATAGAAGGAACGAAAAAAATGTTTGACAAAATAGCAACCAAAGAACTTTTTTTTGAACGTAAGAAAATGGCTCCTTCCGATTGCAGTTCGATTGCGTAACGTTTTACAAAGTCGGGGTGAAGCTTACGTAGCTGAACACGGAGCTTCCCCTTTTGCAAGTTCTGAGCGAGCGACTTATCCACAAACTATTGTTCTGTGAAGAAGTTCTGTGACTCACAGAGTGGAAACATGGGTGCAAGATGTCAGCCTGGCGCAGCTGATCGCACTCTTGCCTCTGAGCCAGAAGATTGTGGGTTTGAGTTCCCAGTCGCATTGTCAGGGATGAGAAAATAGGGCCTTGGGACGTCCTTCCAAACACAATAAAAGCGATTCATGATGGTTTATCGTCGTCCTCTCACCCGATGTCGCTTAATAATAATAATCCTTGCCTTTGATAATAGTCACTGCACTTTATAGTAAATCCTGTGAACGCTTTGAGGCAACCTCCCAACGTGAAAGTTGCTGCATCAAACACAAGGAGTCTTATTAGCAGAATAATAATAATCAACCTTATCGTTGCCGCTGAGACGTCTCAAAGCGATTCACAGAATACCTTGTTAAGTGGGTTTTGTGGGCGAATGACAGCAGCTAATTGCGCACAGCAGTGTCCCCACAAACAAAACATAGTCAATCCACTTTACAGTAAATCCTGAGAGGCGCTCTTGAGATGTCTTCCTGACGTGAAAGGCGTTATATCAAATGCAAGGATTGTTTTTATTGTTATTATCTTTAACGGTCACCAGAACAGACACAGACAGGACCTTGGTTTAGCTGCTACACCAAATGGCACTACACTTCAAAGCGATTCCCTGTGATGCGCTTTGTAATGTTTCAGTGTTTTAGTCGCTGTACGATAATAATAATAATAATCCTTGCATTTGATACTGCGCCTTTTCACGTCTACTAGACGTCTCAAAGCGCTTCACAGAATAGACTGTAAAGTGAATTGACTGTATATTTGTGGGCAAAACGCGGCAGCCAATTGCGCACATCAGCGTCCCCACAAACAGTCGTGGATTGAAGTGACCAATTTATTATTGTTTTTTTTCTTGAGGGATTATTATCAGGCACCTATAAAACTCCAGGGTTGTTAAATTACTGCTTCCCACACAGCCGCCGCTCACACACATTCTATAAGTAGCCCAGCTCATGTTCTAAACAAGGAAAATAAACATTAAATGCAAGGTTAATAATAATAATAATAATAAAATAATAATAATAACAGTACCAATAAAAATAATTTAATGTCACGCCTTATCACGTCATTGAGACTTCTCAAAGCGCTTCACGGAATATATTGTAAAGCGAATTGACTGTGTGTATTTTGTGGGTGAAACGCAGCCGCCAATTGCTACCACAGCGACGTCCCACAAACAACCGGGGATTGAGTAACCGAATTCATAACCCACGGAAAGCGATCCGACAATCGACTAGCAACCGGGTTCCTATTTGTAAGCAGAGGCGTGTGGAGTAAGGAAACTCGCCTACGAACCAAAACGTTGTCATTTTTTGGGGGGAGGGGGGTCAGCCTTGCGTTTGAGACACGCGGAAACCCGTCACCGTGCTTCAGGGTGTCCGAACCAAACTAAGAATTCCATGGCATCGAAGCCTGACATGTCCTGCTCCCCGGTTGCTGAACAGCACCCTCTGTTGACCGTGTGTGGGGATCGGGTGAGTGGAGGTCAAGCCGGGCTGGATACCTCCCTGCAGGCGAATGACCTGCTGAGACCCATTCCGAGCCTCGACACGTGAATTGACGGGTGGCTTTTCCGGGGGTAAGAATCCCTTCCCAACCGAATATTAAATCAAAACCCTTCCACAATTGGCTGCCACGTTTCGTCCACAATATGTACAGTCAATTCGCTGTTACAGTATATTCTGTGAAGCGCTTTGAGACGTCTCGAAGACGTGATAAGGCGCTGTATCAAATGCGAGGATTATTACTATTATTATTATTATTATTAACTGGGGCGAGAGGGGGGGAGGGGGGGAACGGATGTACCAGAGGGCAACCAGTAGCCCGTGGAGCTAAACTCCTGGGAGAGGAGGGCAGACCCGGGGCAGAGAGGCAAATGCCAGCAAGGGAAAAAGTGAGAGAAATAATTGCACCCAGTTAACTTTTAAAACTGGGAAATAATCTATCGGTTAACAATAAATAATCTTTGCATTTGATATAGCGCCTTATCATGTCATTGAGATGCATCAAAGCACCTTGCAGAATAGTTTGCCAATTGCGCACAGCAGTGACCCACAAACACTCATGGACTGGAGGGATTATTACCCCCAGAAAGCGATCCGCCAATCGACTAACAACCAAGTTCCTAATTACTGTCAGGTAAACAGAGATGTGCGGAGTAAAGAAACTTGCTATAAGGTTTCGGCCCGCCCGGGAATCGAACCCGGGTCCTCGCCCTTGCGTTAATCACAACGCTACCGGACTCCACAAACTGCTTCTTCTCTCAACAGATTACAAACTGTTCAGCTTGAGCTGGATTCATACCCAAACATCCTCTGACGGGCTCAAAGTTTCCTGTCTCTCACAGCTGTGACTCTCCAGCTCTGAATCAATGAGTTTGGGTTGCTCCAATAACCTTGCTTAAAGGGCGTTGGTCCAATGGACAAAACAGGCTATAAACAAGCTCTGTGCTGACAGATAGACTGTGGGGTTAGGATCAGAGAGTATGATACTATCTGGTGTGTCAGCCTGTCTCAGAAAGGAGCACTCTCGCCTCTGCAACAGGAGATTGTGGTTTCAAGCTCCCACGTCAGGACTTAGATCTCACAGTCTAGGCTGATGCTCCAATGCTTTGCGGAGCCCTATAGTGTAGTGGTTAACGCTCTCACCTCACAAGTGAGAGGACTCGGGTTTGATTCCTGGGCGGGGCAAAATCTTAGGCAGGTTTCCTTACTCCACACGCCTCTGTTTACCCAGCAGTAAGTTGGAACCGGATTGTTAGTCAACTGGCGATTAATTTCCGGGGGGCAATAAATTATGATTTGGTCACTCGATCCACAACTGTGCGTGGGACACTGCTGTGTGCAATTGGCTGCTGTGTTTCGCCCACAAAATACGCAATCAACCCACTTTACAATCTATTCTGTGAAGCGCTTTGAGATGTCTCAATGACATGATAAGGCGCTGTATCAAATGCAAGAATTATTATTACTGCAGTGAACTGCTGGGGGCAGCACTATCGGGAGTAGCTGTCCTTCGAAGGAAACGTTAAACCGTCTTACTGTCTGCATTTCTTCAGGTAGATTTTAAAGATCCCATGGTAATTTGAGGGCTATGGAGATATTTTATCCACAAAAAAGTCAATCCACTTTACAGTACATTCTGCGAAGCGCTTTGAGACGTCTCGAAGACGTGATAAGGCACTGGCGTGATATCAAATGCAAGGATTATTATTATTATATCGTTATTATTATTATAAGGGAATTTCTCCCATTGTTCTGGCCGACAAGATAAAAAAATCGGTCAATCGCTTCATGGTTGTCTCTCCAAATTGGCTGCCTTGTTTCGCCCACAACCTCTCAGTCTCTACCCTTGACATCAAATCCCTTGAAGTGCTTTGAGGCATCATGACGACATTATGACGTGCAAAATCAAAGGCAAGGATTTTATTCAAGCTTTGAAACCTGTTTCACACAGAGGTGTGGGCCGTTGAGGTAGAGTCCGTTCTGGGTTTCAAGCGGGAAGCAAACACGTGTATGAAGCATAGAGGCGCGAAGGGGTGTGGAGAGAGGCATTGACCGCACTGCTTTTAAATCATTTATCAATCAATCTATGAAGCAATTAAATAATTGCATTTGATACAGCGCCTCATCACGTCATCGAGACGTCTCAAAGCGTTTCACAGAATGTATAGTAAAGGGCAGCGACTGTATTTTGTGGGCGAAATGCAGCAGCACAGCAGCGTCCCCACAAACAGTCGTGCTCTGGCGAATAATCCGCAAGCGAGTGAGGGGACCCGGGTTCGGTTTTTCCTTTGGAATAATTATCAACCAATCGACTGACAACAGATCCACTAATTAATGACTTAATTAAGCTCTGGATCTAATCGTGAAAGGGAAGTCTGACCTGTTGTTGCCGAGCAGAGGGAAGGTTTTTCCGGACGGACGGCGTCATGGTCAACAGTGAGGGACAGTGCTTGCCATTCAGTCAACGAGTGGTGACATCCTCACTGAAAGATTCAATTAGCGAGCACGTCACTGTGAGATACCTGAGCACTCATTTCCCCCCGCACCCCCACCCCGGTAACGCCGAGGGTAAACAATCTTAACATCGCCTTTCACATCACGCGGAGGTCTCAAAGCGCTTCACAAGGTCTACTGTGCAGTGTAGTGACTGCGTATTCGTCGCCAGTGTGCGTACAGCAGCGTCCCACCGATAGCCTCGGAGTGAACCCTCTGATTTAATCTGGCGGATTGTCAGCCAGGACACCGGGCGACAGAAACTCCCTTCTCTTTTCGAATTGTGCCACGGGATCTTTAATAAAAATTAATAATCGTCGCGTTTGATACAATAAATAAATAACAGTATAACATAATAACAGCGCCTTATCACATCGTTGAGACGTCTCAAAGCGCTTCGCAGGATATACTGTGAAGCGAACTCACTGTGTATTTTGTGGGCGAAACGCGGCAGCCAATTGCGCACAGCTGCGTCCCCAAAAAACAGTCTCGGACTAAGCGATTCCCTTTCTTTTTTAACCCCCGGAATGCAAGCTGCCAATCGACCGACAACCAGGCTGGATAAACAGAGGCGTGCGGAGTAAGTAAACTTGCCCAAGGCTTGCGAGGCGAGTGCGTTAACCACTACGCTACGAAACTCCTGTAAGATCGATCAACGTACCCGCGCAGGGCTCCAAACCACGACCCTCTGACTTGGAAATAAAGGTGCTAACGCTAGCACACCCCCTCAGCCTCCTTAAAGCGAACGCCAAAGAAAAAAAAAATGTCTCTTCCCGTCACTCTCAAGACAAGGTCTGAGCTAAAAACGAATGGTCCCGCACCGAGCAAGCAAGGTCCCGAGACACGATACATGCAGGAATTCGGGGCTGCACTGCGCACAATTAGGAACAGCTGAAAGAGATTTTCCACTTAAACAACCCTCACATTTCTTTCTTAGAACGTGTCAGTCTCACTCCCTGGCGCGTGGCTTTATAACGGCTAAAAGGCCTGTATCACGGGTGGATCTCATTCGTACACGTATCCCGTGTCGACCTGGCTCTCTCTCTCTCTCTCTCTCTGTCTCGCTCTCTCTGGTAACGCTCTCGCTTCTAGGTCAGAAGTCTGTGGGTTCAAGCTTCCCCTCGTCAGGTGCTTGGAGCTCACACAGTCCAGGCTAACGCTCCAATTAACACCCAACGTCGGCTGCTTGAGAGACCTGTAGTGCAGTGGTTAGCGCGCTCGCCTCGCAAGCGAGAGGACCTGGTATAAAGCGTGACGCTTGATCTTGACTAGGTGTAGGTAATTGTAGGCGAACCTTGGCGGCCGGTTTGTACAACGCAATCGTAATAATAATAACAATCCTTACGTTTTGTTCTAGCGCCTGATCACATCGTTGACACGTCTCCCGGAGCGCTCCGAGATGCCGTCCAGTGCGAAGGTCGCTCTACAAAGGCAGATTTCTGTTGTTGTCTCAAAGAGCTTCACAGAATAGAGTGGAAAGTGGATCTACTCTATATTTCGTGGCCGAAAGGGCGGCAGCCAATTGTGCCCAGAGGTGTCCGACAAACAGTCGTGGTTTGAGTGACTGTGTTTTGGAGCGATCGACTAACAACCAAGTTCCTACGGCTTGGTAACCCAGAGGTGTCTGGAGTGAGGAAACTCGCCTACGGTTTCAACCTGCCCGGGGCATCGAACCCGGGTCCTTTGGCTTGCGAAGTGAGTGTTCTAACCACTTTGAATGATGCCAGAGCCATGAAGCGAGCGATCGATTTTATTTAAGGGATTGTCGACCAGGATACCTGGAGAGAGAGAGAAACTCTCCTCTCTTTTCCAACAGCACCGCGGGATCTTTAACGTCCACCTGAACAGGTACAGACTGGGCCTCGGTTTAACGTCTCATCAGAAGGAGGGCACCTCCGACAATGGAACACCCCCCCCCCAGCGCTGCATTGGGGCGTCAGCTTAGACTATGTGATTCCAAGTCCCCACGTGGGGGTTTGAACTCACAACCTTCTGACTCAGGTGAGAGTGCTACTGACTGAGCTCCTCCCTACCTCTGTGACCTGCTAACTCCATACCAGCCTGTCTGCTCCCTCCGCTGAGTGGACTGTGGCCTGCTCCACGTCCCCCGCTCCCCGACTGCCCACCCACCATTGGCCATCGAGCCTTTAGCCTTTCCACCCCCATCCTCTGGAACTCCATCCCACAGCCCCTTCTCCTCGCCACCCCCCACCCCTGCTTTGCCACCTTCAAGGCCAGTCTCAAGATCCTCGTCTTCTCCCGCACCTTCAGTCACCCTCGTACCTTCACCCTCCCTGCCCTCTACCCTCGCTGCCCTCCACCCCTCTTGATCCCAACTCCCAGCTCGAATGCATATCCTTGAGTGTCCAGTGTTTTGGGACGTCCTCCCGATATGAAAGGCGCTGTGTCAATATAATTTGTTGTGGTGATTGCTGTTGTTAATCGGGATAAGTATAGACTGAGTCGATTGAATTCTCCAAGGGACACAAGGGGATTGAAACTGCAGTGAGGTCTAGATTGACTCTGGCATTTTGGAACGTCTAGAATTTGGCAAATTCACAAACAAAGCCTTCATTTTGAAGCCGCTTTTTCTGCGAGTTGTTTTTAAGAATAACAGGAAACGGGCTTCAAGGTTAAGGCTGAATTCAATGATTTGCCAAATTCTGGACAGTCTGAACTGCTGCCTGACGTCTAGACGGGGGGCTGGAATCTCTCTAGTGCCGAGGGGGTGGGGGAGGGAAGGGGACACGTGCTCAGGACAGCGTCAAGATATAATAACAACAACAACTGATTGCATTTACACAGCGCCTTTCACGCTGGGAGGACGTCCCAAGGCGCTGCACAGTCAAGGGTTTGCACCTGAGCTGGCGGTTGGAGTCAAGAGGGGTGGAGGGCAGGGAGGGTGATGGGGGGAAGATATAATAATAATAATCCTTGCATTTGATATAGAGGCTTATCACATCATTGAGACGCCTGAAAATGTTTCACAGAATATACTGTAAAGTGAATTGACTGCATTTTGTGGGCAGCCAATTGCGTACAGCAGTGTCCCACAAACAGATATGGATTGAGTGATCAATTTTTTTTAAAAGGTATTACTACACCCAGAAAGCTAACGGCTAATAGACTAATAACCAGATCGCTACTTACTGCTAGGTAAAAAGAGGCACGTGGGGTAAGGAAACTTGTCTGGGGTTTTGCCCTGCCCGGGAATCAAACCCGGGTCCTCTCACTTGTGAGGCACATTCAAATAATAATAATAATCTTTGCATTTGATACAGCGCTTTTCACATCTTCTAGACGTCTCAAAGCGCTTCACAGAATATACTGTCAAGTGAATTGACTGTCTATTTGTGGGCAAATCACGGCAGCCAATTATCCCACAAACAGTCGTGGATTGAAGTGACCAAATTAATATTGTTTTTTTTTCTTGAGGTATTATTATCGGGTATGTGGCGTAAGGAAACCTGTCCAAGGTTTTGCCCGGCCGGGAATCGAACCCAGGTCTCTCGCTTGCGAGGCGAGCGCTCTAACCACTGAGCTACAAGACTCCACGACTCAAAGAGGAAAATCTTGAGACGGGGTAAGGATGAGGAATGCGAATGTGTGGGGACTGCGAGCGTCCTGGAGGTGTGACCAGGCAGAGTTGATCAGAGCTGAACTCTCCCTGACCGAGGTTCAGCAAAGAGTCTGAAAGGGCCAATGCAGATGTCAACAACAACAGCAACAACAACTTGGATTTATATAGCTCCCTCCACGCCGGTCGGCATCTCAGAGCGCTTCACAGTGACGGATCCTGGGGCCGAGCCAAGGGGAGGAGGAGGAAGGCGCGGTCGAAAAGAAACGTCTTCAGCCGAGACCTGAAATGGGAAGAGAGGGGGCGAGGCGAAGGGAGTGAGGAAGGGAGTTCCAGAGCCTCGGGGCATAGTGGCTGAAGTCACGGCTGTTAATGGTGGAGCGGAGGATTCGGGGGATCCAGACCCACTACGCTAGAGGGCTCCACCGTCTCTGTTTAAAGACGGCGTCTCTGAGGTTGCAGTACTCCTCCCGGCACAGCACTGGAGTGTCAGCCCTCCCCACCACACCCCTACACATGTGAGGCTTGAACCCACAACCTTCTGACCCCAGAGGTAAGTGTGCTCCCAACCGAGCCAAGCTGACACCGATGAGGTCCATTTAAACAAGTGGAGAATCTCTCTCGCTCTGACTCTCTCCCTCTCCGTCCCTTAGTCTCTTTCTACCTCTCTTTGTTTCCTTACTCCACACGCCACTGTTTACCTAACAGGAAATCGGCACCCGGTTGTTAGTTGATCGGGGATCGGTAATAATCCCTCCCCCCAAAAAATTCAATCCACGACCATTTGTGGGGACGCTGTTGTGCGCAATTAGCTTCCGCATTTCGCCCACGAAATACACAGTCAACCCACTTTACAGTAGGTTCTGCGGAGCACTTTCAGACGTCTCGAAGACGCGACAAGGCGCTCTACCAAATGCAAGGATTATTATTAATATTATTATTATAACCCACAGCCAGAAATGATTAATAAAAAAGAAAAAAAAGTAGAAGGGGAGGTCAGGCTGCCAGCAGATAGCCCAGACCTGCTGCTTCCAATAACTTCACAGTTAGACACACAGAGCAAAGTCAGATGGAGAGAGCTTGCTCAAATCTCTCAATAAATGTCTGGCTCCTGGCTGTGAACACAAGGTTACTATTTACTGCGCACAAAGACCCAGCCAAAAGGATATACGCTGTGGAAAAATGATAGGGCTTTTTACCTTACACAAGACGTGTAGCCATAACAGATAGTGTGCGGCTTAACATAATGGTGAGAGTCAGTTTCTTGGCTGGGGCTGAGATTGGCGCTAGTGTAATCACCACTCGCTGTGTGGAAAATCTTACCATTACATCAAGATAAAGAGAGAGAGACCTGAGCTGGCTACAGAGCCAAGCTCACTGCCAAGATTGGGGCTTTCAGTTTTCCTTTTGCTA